GAGAGAGAGAGAGAGAGAGAGAGAGAGAGAGAGAGAGAGAGAGAGAGAGAGAGAGAGAGAGAGAGCAGGAAGGCAGGCAAGCAAGCAGGCAGACATGCAGACAGACAGGATAGGAGGGAGAGGGAGAGACACCAGCGCCACTGCAACCTATACCTCCCCTCCCCTTCTTCTTGTAGGTCGTTATTGCTGCAGGTTGCACAGTGGTGCAACATACTGGTTTGCTGTATTGGCCTATATAGGGGTGTTATGTACCAGGCCCATGGCTGTAATGGCCCTGGCAAGAAATGTTCTGCTATACAGGTGAGGCCTGCGTACTTTGTCAATGTACCGCGCTTAGGCGCCATCGAAAAGAATGGCCCCACTGCGAAGTGTTGAATGTGGGCATGAGGTAGAGCGTGCAGAGTGTACAGATGGCAAGCTCCATCACCTACACAACCTTGCAGGCCGACTGATCTGCCAGTGGGTGCCAGACGAAAAGAAAGACCCCACTGCAAAGTGTTGAATGTGGGCATGAGGAAGAGCGTGCAGAGTTTACAGATGGCAAACTCTCCGTCATCTACACAACCTTGCAGGCTGACCGATCTGCCAGTGGATGACAGACTTGTCTGGCACGAGGCAACTGTTGTCTTTCGGCTGACTGATCTGCCAGTGGATGACAGACTCGTCTGGCACGAGGCAACTGTTGTCTTTGGGCTATTGCTGTAAATTACGAGGTGTCTTGATTTAGGTGGTTCGTTAGTGTTTGCAACACATATATATGTACACGTCTGTGTGAAGTATGGTCAATCCAATAAACATGGTTTTGGCAATCTATTACATCAGACGTCAACCATCATGGGATTCGGAATATGGCATGGGAAACATCAAGCCTCCAAAAGCAATATCGCCATTTTAAAAGGTTTTCACAGCCTTGGGTTTTAGCAGCCCGTTTAGTTAGCCGCCCACTGCACAAAAAACGATATGGACCTCCGGCTCTCATTGTGCAAGCCTGACCCTCGAGCAGACAGCTATTGGAGATCTTCTCTTCCTATTCCTTTGGTGTAAGTGGCTACCATCACCACCTCGGAGTCAGTATTCGAAGGTGATTCGATGCTCTTGTGATGTGCACAGTCTCTTCTATTGGTAGATGAGACCTTGCAGGGTTGTGCCTACAAGACAAAGGTGGTGGTGTTTGTTGAATCTATCCCAGGGAGGAAGAGTGTTGTCTGGAAGAGTGGAGAACACGTGTCTTCCATAGCCACATGGTTATGATGTAATATGAACCTCAATGGCAAGCATATTAGACTTTCTCCCTGATGTAGCTTGCTATGGTGGAACACATGTTCCAGAACCGTCTGGCTGTGCTGCATGGTCCGTCAGGGAAAAGTGCAACGACTGGCGATAAGCATGCGAGTTCGGATGATGTTTGGAATTCGTCAGAATACTGAGTCATTACAATGCTGTGAAAGTGATTACCATGGAAACCAGGAATGACACTTGGTTTGGCGATGCGGTCTGTGCTGCGTAGATTTCCGAAGACCTGAGCCCTCCCAGTAGGCTATGAACGTACGTACATGCGAGGCCGATAGTAGTCAGAAATCACTAGCGTGGCGTGCAAGTCTGCAGCCACATTGATGCATTATGCTTATTAGGAATGGGTTTAGGTAAGTTGTACGTACCGGTTCCATACAACTTACCTATACCCTGTGGTACCGATTTGTGGTGTGGTCGCTGCACATGTTATCGTGTCGTACTCCTCAGTACTTAATGCTGTTGATGTGGAGTGAACTAGGTGGTATCGAGTCATATCTACGTGTCATCCTCATGGGTACTCAGTGGCAGTGATGTGTCATATTTTGCCTGCGGTATTGACGTGGAGTTTGAGTTAACATCGGTACAAAGTGTATACTCAGTCATACCGATTGGTTTATTCTTATTGGTAGTACTTCGTAGCATTTTGACGTGATATATGTGCCTGCGCATAGTCATAAACTTCAACACTGTTCTGATGTTGGTCCTGGTTGGTGTGATGGCACCAGTATTCATGGGTACTTAGTAGCACTGACGTGTTATATGCACCTGCGCATAGTCTGATAGTCATATACCTTGACACTCTGATATCGGTCCTAGCTGGCATGATGGAACCCGTCTAGATTTGGTAGTCTCACACATCTGTACTTGATAGGTCCTGTTCAATATACGCATACAACTATGGTGTGAAGAAGAAGTTGAAAAACAAAATGTCCGGAACAAGTACATCTAGCCCATCAGCATGAATCAGGGCGTACTCACGATAGCAATACCTTAAAGGGATCTGACCAGAATTAAGGCCAGACCTGGACATATCTGACCACAATCACGTCCAGAAATAAGTTAAAAAGTCCTAGTGTGAGTATGACCTGAGGAGGGAAGGATGCAGATTTGCAAGAGGCTGGATCCTTAGATTCACAGTGATGCTGGCCATCGACCGATTTCATGGGAATAACCATATTCTGTCCAAGTTCCAGTTGATGGGATTCCCATGTGCCATCAAGTTCCAGTTGATTGGAATAACCATGTGGCATTGAGCTCCAGTTTGTTGGGGATAAGCATGTGCCATCGAGTTCCAGGAGTTCCGTGGGACTCTGCTGAGCTCCATCTCAAAGGTTCAGAGTGCATTGGTTAGACTTCAAGTTGAGGAATGGAAGGAGTATCTGAGCATGGGCACTGAGATGGTGCCCAAGGTGGGGTGGGGAACCTTGTGGGACCTAGTGGGAATTGGGAGATTGGGGGACTGGCTAGTGGAGAAGGGAGGAAGGTTGCTTTGGTGGCTATATTGCAGGTTTCTTGGTTGTGCACATTAAGGTTATGAATATCGGTGCATGTCAAAGCAGAGGCCTCAGAAGTCTGGCTAGCGCCCTGCTTAGTCCCATTCGTCGAGCGTACAACACACGAAGAAGTGTTCGTCGAGCGTACAACACACGAAGAAGTGTCCTTAACTCTCAAGTATGCGACGTGCTTGGTTTTGCGGTCCAAGTCCGTCGATTTAGGCTCCTTCCCCTCTGCCGGTAGGTGCGAAGTGTGGTAGGTACTACGAGCCCTCTGCCCCATTCGAAAAGAGATTCGAATGGTTCACCGGTTCCACCGTATGCTCTCTGGGTTGAATTGAGTACGCAGTGCGCTTCTGATGCTGTTGCCACTTCGTGGCCTGGTTTCCTCAATGTCCTGGCACATACGATTTTCGACGTCGCTGTACGAGGGAAGACGTTGTGCGATCTTGTAGCGGATCGGCCTTGCCGAACACGTCCGGGCAATTATCCCACCAGCATCTCACGTTCACGAGTATTCCGTTCAGCTGTGTATCAGAGACACGGTCGGGGTTCAACCAAGGGCTGGCTATTCCCAGGCTGGTGGTGTGGACTAGTTGAAGCAGAACCGTTGTTACAATGTTTCTGAGTAAGGACTGGCAGAGCAGAGTG